AAATTTTCTAACGGCCCACAGGTTCCACAGCAATTGTGATTTATAAAGTAGGGAAGTAACTTTTCTTTATAAAATTTATAAAGCAGAGTTATAGCAAACCCCTATCGCCCACAATGAAAGCAGGAACGCCCACTAGTGGGTGGTAGGGACCAGGTTGACTACCACTGATTTAGACACTGCCAAATGTTAGTTGGCTTATGGGGGAGTGGGGTGGAAATGTTACTTTAAAACAGTTAAGGATGCCTTGAGCCTGTATCAGGGAAGTATAAAAATGCAGCGTCATAGTTATATGGCAGAATAAATAGGTTGTTGAGATCTGTTTGGACCTCTGTTAGATACAAGTGTGGATGGCCCCATGTCTTATACCCACAGCTAATAATGTCCAAAAGTTATAATATCCTGATCTAAATTCTATTCTGCTAATTGCCATGCTCCCAAACTGCTTTTTTCCCAATCAATATCAAAATCCAACAGCACACAAGTAACCCTTCTATTTATTCAAAAGTGTCTTTTCTCTGCTCTTCTTGCCTCACACTGCCAGGTCTGTTTGGATGTATTTTCATATATCCCAAGCAAGCATAGGCTGGATCTGCAAGGAGACAAAGGAATAATCCTGCTTCCCTCCACTTTCAGGCAGCCCAGAGTTAGTAATAGGTTAAATAGGTATAAGTTAAAGCTGTAAAAGCAAAGTTATGCATACAGATAACATTACTGCTGTTTCCCCACCTCGGGGAAAACCCCCACAAAATTTGTTTTTGATTCCTAGAATTTAAGAGCATTTTGTTTCTGAATGTATTTTAGCTTTGTGTATACTGACATCTAGTGGCTAAAAACATAATCTGAATTGAAGAATTCTCCACCCAAATCCAGTGCAAAAATTGTGTTGACATATAGATAAGGCAGATTCCCAGGTTTTTTAAATAAAGAATTATGCACCTTCTTATCCCTTCATATACTATTTTTTATTCTCCTGAGTAACTAAATAATTAATGGATGAGTTTGGAAACAGGATACATATGTAATTCAAGAACTATATCAACATGTTTAAGCCAAACAATAACTAAGGTTGGATTGATACAAGCAATGATTTGCTTAGCCATGGTTTGTAGAATAAGTTGCAATTTGAGTTTTTTCCCTCACATTCTAAGACAAATCCAAATAAAGAATATGAAAATTATGAACAATCAATCTAAAGATGCATTTAGTTTTGGTCGTCACAATGTAAAAAAGATATTGAAACTATAAAGAGTGCAGAGAAGAGCAACAAAGATAATTAGGGGACTGGAAGCTAAAACATATGAAGAACGGTTGCAGGAACTGGGTATATCTATTTTAATGAAAAGAAGGACTAGGGAGACATGTTCCAATATCTCAGGGGTTGACACAAAGAAGAGGGAGTCAAGCTATTCTCCAAGGCAACTGAGAATAGAACAAGAAGCAATGGGTGGAAACGAATCAAGGAGAGAAGCAACTTAGAACTGAGGAGAAATTTCCTGACAGTTAGAACAATTAATCAGTGGAACAGCTTGCCCCCAGAAGTTGTGAATGCCCCAAAAGATGTTGGATAGCCAACATAGATAGTTACAACTTAGATAGTTGTTTGTCTGAAACGGTATAGGGTTTCCTGCCTGGGCAGGGGGTTGGACTAGAAGACCTCCAAGGTTCCTTCCAACTCTGCTATTGGCTATACAGTGCTATAGGCTATACAGTGAATTTAAAAAGAAACCCAAGAAAAAATTAATGGCAAATCGTTACTTCCAGCCCCCCAAAATCAAAGAATGCACATGCTTATGGAGAGGCCAACTCAGTTCTGTTCCGGCTGCTAGCCCTCGGCCGCGGTGGCAGGGAAATTCCAGGGGGCTCTGACAAATTACAAGCGAGTCCCAGCCCCCGAGTGGGAGGCGTAACGGGGAGCAGAGAGGAAAGCCCCCTGAGCACGTGATCCCCGACCGCGTGGTTTTCCTATCAGGCACCGGGGCTGTCCGTCCGTCCGCCCCCCTCCGCTGGAGCCTCGCTCTCTTCAGACGGATCCATCGCCCCGGGCGGCCTTCGAAGGGCTCCACCGTGAGGCTCGGCTAATCAATCGCTGAAGCTGAGGCGCTCGCAGCAGGCGGGATCACGCGCTCTGCGCTCGGCACATTTTTGGCGCCGGCGCCGCCGCCGTTGCAGCCGCAGAGCAGAAATTGCCGCCTCTTTCTCGAGACTCAGCGGGAAGCGTTCCCTGGGGAGGGTTGAGGGGTGGCTATGGCGGAGCCCGCGGAGAAGCTATACCGGGCCGAGTACGCCAAGAGCGGGCGGGCTTCCTGCAAGAAATGCAAGGAAACTATCGCCAAGGATTCGCTCCGCCTGGCCATCATGGTGCAGGTAGGGACTCTACCTTCTTTCTAAGCCCCTTCCCTCTAAGCAGGCTTAAGAGTCTATGCCAAGCTCTGCAAGGCTTTCACCCTAGGCCACCCAGGCCCGGGAGCGCCACGTTGCCTGCCGAAGCGAGCAATCAATCGTCTTTGTGGCCGCCCCTCGGTGCATCTGTTACCCTCCCGCCACTGCCTTTGCGCCTGATCCCCTGGATCGGTTCGATTCCGTTTTGTTAATGCGCCACCCGATGGGTCAAGGCAGCTGAAGGATGCGCAGCGCAGGAGGAACCGCCCTTTCCCTTTCATAGCTTCCCTTCTTGCGGGGATCTTCCAAAGATGCCAGTTGAAATCATTTTATGCCGGGCCCACCATCCGGCCGCCTTAAGCTGCATGTCTCTTAGCTTTTCACTTAGGAGGAAGTTCTTTGAGGGTTTTACGCCTAGGTGGGGAAATTTGAGCTGACAGTAGTTCCCACGTTGTTCCATTAGAGCCGCGGGGTTTAGCTGCTCGTCCTGCAGTGGGCGGGGGATATCATCTTTTTTAATCACAACCAAGTCCAATACCCTGTTCTTCACAATTTCGCACATTTTCATCATACAATTTTACAATACAACCCTCCTAAAGATTTGTTCATAAGTGCACAGTTCCGAATAAATGTTTACACAACTTTGAATGTAATGAGGCTTTTCCTTAGGATTAGCAAATTTATTGATCCTGATGCTTAGTCTAGTTGGAACAATCATAAATTGGATGAGACTAACATATGGAATCGTTATCTTTGAGTTGGAGGGGATTTTAAAGCCTAGAATTTAGGACAGCTGTTACTTTGTTAAAATAGTCATGCACTGCAATCATATTTTGCAATCTGTATTTTGGAATCTGAATTTGAATGCTACATTCTTCAGTGGGGCATAGAGTCTTCAAGCATACAGTTTTGACTCTAGTCTGATGTGTTGCCAATATAGACAGATCTATTGAGTGCGGAATTTGTTTAGCCAAGCAATGCTGCATCCTTCCATGTCTTGATAGTTTACTATTTTCGCAATAAACCTGTGGATTTGACTCCATTTAATAAAATAATGTAATTGGTAATCCTGACAATTTGTAGCTCCCTAAAGGCAACTTGATTGCAATAGGGTGAAATTAAATAAATGGAATAATAATGATACTAGCAGTATATGGTGTAATGTATTCAAACCTATTGTTGTGGAATGTATACTGTATTCCATTCTCTGAGGAGCATGCAAAGACATTTTGTTCATAACTTCTTACCTAGAAAAGTAGGTCAGGCAGAGAGCAAACAGCTTTAGATGTACTAGCAGGAGAACAGTGAGATGATTAAGTTTCTTATTCTTGGCATGTAGATGAACTTTGCTACAGAAAACTACTGCTGGATATAGTTGTGCATGCTGAGTTATTTTCTAGGCCCTTACCATCTCAAGTACAAAAAAAAAATCCTGCCCCAAAATGGAACACCCATTCACTGGTTAATGACATTCTGTAATGAAGACTGCATTATGAAACAAATAAGCAAACAAACTTGGTAACAGTGGAACTTCATTAAAATGGGGGAAATTGATGATCACAGAACCATTTTGCTGGATTACTTGTACAGTTGCCTAGTAACTTTTATTTATTACATCATTATGAAATGTTTTGATTTATCATTTTTGTTTTTTATTAAATGTTTTTCAAAGAGAAAACTGTGAGTGCCAAATTAGATTACACTTTGATATATTGATATTTATGATTCAGAGGCTTCTTCCCCTAAATGCCTTGTACTCTTAATCTGGAAGTTCAGCAATGATCCATACACAATAATATATAAAAGTATATAAAAATAAATATTTGGTAATCAGCGATACTCTATTTTAGGGGTGTCAAACTCAATTTCATTGAGGGCCGCATCAGCGTTGTGTTTGACCTTGGGGGTGTGGCCAGCTCAATATCACTTATGTCAATGTGCCTGTGGTGGCCTGAGCACTCTGCCAGCGAAAATGGACTCCTGAGCGCCATTTTCAGCTGCAACAGCCTCCTGCAACCCTCTGCCAGCGAAAACGGAGGGCTACCTACGGCCCTCCCACGCTCCATTTTTTTCTGCCAGAGGCACCATGGGACAGTCCTTTGCTGTTTCCATGGTAGCTCTGCGGGCCAGATCGAAGCACTCCACTGGCCAGATGCAGCCCCGGAGCCTTGGGTTTGACACCCCTGCTCTATTTGTGTCCTAATTGTTGCCAGAAAAAAATGGACACAATATTGCAGATACTGTCATTGTAATCAGAAAGTAAAAGATGTATATACCAAAGATCTGTCTGTCTGGGATGCTGTTCCAAGATATATGAGTAGCATGAGTTCCATAGATCCCTATAAAAAATTATGGTGCTGCACTATGTGAGTGGTGGTTTTGATTTTTCAAGTGCAGGAGCCAAGGTTTTTTTGAATATGTACCCAGAAATAAAGTGAATGGCAAGATGTTACAATGTGTGCCTTTGGCTCTGGAAACCTTGGGATCCAGGTTCTGTTCTTGTTAAAGTGCCTACTGATCTCCAGTTGATATTGCACATGCTTTATCCTCTGAAGGAATATATGACTGGCCTAATTGTAATCCATTGTGAGGAGGTACTCCATGTAAAGGCCATAAGAATCTAGTTTGAATTCTGCAAGACCACTCCGACTTAAATTATATTTCTTTGCCATTGCAATGGTTGGGAAGAGACTGATTGGGAAAAATCAGATTTTTAACCAGTATCTCATTGTAGCTCAAATTTTTAAAACAAACACTAGTTCTGTGTAAGTAGTGTTACATCTCCAAATTCTTATTAAAGCCTGAGCAGAAGGAAGCAAAATGAATAAAAGAATCACAATTATTTCTGGATGTTATAGAAATCTGAATTGATAATAACTATTGATAATAACTGCATATGGGATGTTATAGAAATGAAAACGGTACTCATAGATGGGCATAAGTTGTTTATTTATAAAATGTATTAGCCGCCCATCTTGCCACACAGTAACTCTCAGTGGTTTACAATATTAAAAAATAAAACTATATACTTTATAATAATATAAATACAATACTATAAAATCAACCTAGCTAAAAAGATGGGGGGGGGATATGATAAGAGGGGGAGAGGGAGGAAGCTGTTGTTATTCAATCAGCCACCCAAAACATGAAGCCCTTCTGTTGGTGCTCCAAGGCAACTGGCTAAGCCAGATCTTTAAGCTCTTGAAGGTCAGGAGGGTTGGAGCTGACTTCACTCCATTTGACTGTACCCAAACAAAGCATCTGCAAAACTGGAAAAATGTATGAAATAGGGAGGGGAAATATACAAGATGTATGGAGCTGTGACTCTTATTAATAAATACTTTTTGTCTGGATTCTAATTGTACTGTATGGGTACTATTTCTTAACCCAATTCTGTTGCATCAGTTTTTATGCCTGAGATTCTTCCCCCCATTCTTTCTTTTCAGTCCCCTATGTTTGATGGCAAAGTACCTCATTGGCACCACTATTCTTGCTTCTGGAAACGAACTCAGCTGCTATCCCATGCTGATCTGGATGGCTTCGCAGAACTCCGTTGGGATGATCAGGAAAAAATTAAAAAACACATAGAAAGTGGAGGAGCTGCAGCAGGTAAGCTATTCACTGATGATAAAAAGGGAAAAGACTGTTGGGTGAACCATTGACTTGAGCAGGTTTAGGAGTCTGTCATTTTTATGCTGAGAGCAGACTTCATCAAAATGTTAGAAGGTCTCCAAAATATAATTGCTTAAGAGATTCTTTGGAAGTAAGTTTCAGTGAATTACTATTGCTGTCATACTCTGGGGTCACTCTTGCATGTTCTAGAAAACATTAACTGCAACCAAAAATTTCTCTCTCTTAGACTAGTTTTAAAAAGTTGTATTTATTCCTGAGCAAATCTAACTCATTTATGTATCTTATTTCTGTTGTCCCAGGGGATTTTTTAAATTAGAACCTAAAAATTATTCCTTTCCTTTTTTTTTTTCAGGCAAAGGTGGTGGCCAAGAGGGAGGTGGCGGAAGTGAAAAAAGTTTAAATGATTTTGCAGCAGAATATGCAAAATCCAATAGAAGTACTTGCAAAGGTTGTGAACAAAAGATAGAAAAGGTAAACGTAGCTCTCTGTGTATAAGGATGTAAACATTCACACAAAGATACACAAACAATGTTATTAATGGCAGAAATGTTTTCTAAAGCAGTGGTCCCCAACCCCCCAGGCCACAGCTCACTACCAAGCCGTGAGCTGTTTAAAACCAGGGCACCCGAAGCGATGGGTGAATGCGCATATATCCCCCTTACGTAAGTAGCGGGAGAACGCATGCATGTTTTTTCTGCTGCCATTTGTGGCGAACCATTCCCTCCCTCCATGCACTAGTCTGCAAAGCTGGAAAGCATTTCTCCAAATCAGGATTTAAAAATCAGGTTATTTTTAAGACTTCCCAAGTTTAATTTTTGTCTTTAAATCTTAGGTCTAAATATGGTGCCTTGAATAACACATTAATTGAATTCATTTATGATTATATAATAATTGAAGAGACAAGATCAGAAATTGAAATTTCATGTGGTCTAGATTTAATTTGTTTAAAAATTAAATGTAATGGCTTAAATAGTGCTAAACTAAAAGCTTTGACATTGAAGAAATATTGTGATCTGAAATCTTGAAATTTTAATAGTTCTGTCTTATTCCTGAAGTAATTTTGTCGTCCTACCATGTTTCCCCGAAAATAAGACAGGGTCTTATTTTCTTTTGATCCCCGAAAATAAGACAGGGTCTTATTTTCTTTTGATCCCCGAAATAAGCACTTGGTCTTATTTTCGGGGCGGTCTTATTATTTTTGAGGTGCAGGAGGTGGCGAGTGTGGTCACCTCATGGCTGCTGCTGTGGTGCAATATTTTGGGGGAACGGGGTAATTTTTGGTCTTTATAGTAACACATAGTGTCTATCCATCTGTCTATTGGCAATCTATTCAGTTTAAAGAAACAAAGAATAGAGGGGTGTGTGTGTGTGTGTAAGAGAAAAATTAAAAATTTATTTGGGAATGACAGAATCTGTTTATGTTCAAGAATAGGGACTCATCCAGTGGTAAGTTTCAATTTATTTTACTACCGGATCACTCACTCGCGTGATTCTTCTGCGCATACACAAAACTGTCTGGATGGGCGGGCGGAGTCACCCACCGCCGCCACTAACGTTTTGCCAGATCCGGGGCGAACCAGCAGAAACCCACCTCTGGATTCATCCCACTTTTATTTCAGAAATAAAGTTCCTATTAATGTGTTTTTTGGAAACACTTATTTATTTTACAATAAAATAAATAATATTAAATTTCTGGCTTGAAACCTTAGTAGACAATTGTTTAATTTTGTTTGTGAATTTATTTCTAATTTCTCTTCCTATCTACCCAGGGTCAGATTAGAATCTCAAAGAAAATGGTGCTCGCTGAAAAGCCACAGCTGGGGATGATAGACAATTGGTACCATCTTGCCTGTTTCAGTAGTCGCAGAACAGATCTGGGTTTTCTTCCTACCTTTAATGCCTCTCAGATCCAGGGCTTTGCGCAGCTAAAGGCAGAAGACAAAGAAACTCTAAAGAAGCAGCTGCCCTCTGTCAAGACTGAAGGGTATGTAGAAGGTGCCAAAAAAGAGGCATATCATGCTATTTGATTTTGATCATTGTATGATAGATACTTCTTTTTTATTTTTATTTTTTTATTACAAACATAAAAAATACACGAACACAGAACTTAGCCGTACACTACATTTACCCAATACACTACAAACAGGAACTTCCTGTTCTTTCTAATAGCAATTTCAAATCGATACAATTCTCCTTATGTTATTTCCCCTTCTAATATATTTCATTTGTGTTTCACCATTTTTAACCCTCTTATCTATCTGCTATATTGGGTGATTACCTCTAATAAATTTAAACTCTCTTGAATGCGCATATATATAAGAGCTAAATAGCTTGAAATAGATCTATACTAGTTTCCCTTTATTTATTTATCAGCACAAATACAACACAAATGTAACAAAGGCAACATAAAAAAATGACTTTCTGCCTGGATGGCTCCTA